TAGAGAATAATTAAAAAAAAAGAAATCAGTTGCTAGCACATCATCCATATGCATAACAGATACAAACATATACAAACAGTCAAGAGGATAAACAAGCCTACAAGATGCTTCTGAGTAAAGTGATAAACTGTAGGAAGACTTATAGAGAGAGAAAGAGAAAGAGAATGTACCCAAATCAGAAAGAGACAATGCAAAAGATTGAAAAGAAAGGTAAATAATAACAAGAAAATACTTTTACCAACTTTATGCTAATAAAATGAAAAGATTTAATATACATGTATGTCAACAGAGATAAAATATTATAAAGGAACTACTTTAACAAATTTTATTAAACTATTTTATTAAACTATCAAAATTTTATTAAAGTATATTACACATAAAGAGGGAGTAAGTAGTACATTGTTCTTCAAAGAGCAGATACTAAAATTGGGCATAATATTACTTTTAACATTATTTTAAAAATGTATTCATTACCTTTATAACTTGTTCATCATACTAAAAACCATTTGGAATAGTCATTTTTTCCATACAATATTTTTCATGAGGTAGATAATCTTTTTATTCTTTCTCTGGAATTCAAATTGGTAATCTAAATAGCATGTATGCTACTTGGAATATAACAAGTTCAAGTGGTATGGTAAATGAATATATTTTTACAAATTAAACTAAATTGCACAACTGGTATTTTTAAATTTAATTTCCTTATTCTATAATCTTTCAATAATGGCTGACTAGCTTGTTCACAACAAGCCTCTCACTGACAACAACTATATTAGTTGGATAAAATATTAATGAAAAACACTCATTTAATAGTCTCAGAAATTTGGTTAATGAGTATTTCAGCAACCAATATACTATGCAGGAGAAAAAAATAAAATGGTGAGCCCAACAGTCAGCATAACTTTTCTTTTGGAATCATTTGCCAATTCTGTATGAGCCACTGAGAAGCTGAGACCATTAGATTTTCCAGGAGCCTTGCAAGGCTAGAGTGGAAATAGTTTGAATTCAGGTCTCAGCAAGGAGAAGCAACCCTGGTAAACATTTTAGGTTTTAGTTAGGACCCCTGAATGACTGCAGAATACAAAAAGTAAGGAGGAAGAGAAAAAAGTCAAGCCCTCACAAGTAAAGTAGGCTAAACCTCCTATCAGGTAAGCACTTGATTAGCTTAAAATAAGTTATCTCTATGCTTATTGTTTGACAACGCCAAAGAGAAGTCCCACCTGGGGACAGTATTATTCAGAGTCTCAAATTATGTCTATAATTATTTTCATACCAGGTGTCTAACATATTATTTAAATTTTATAGGTATACCAGGAAGGAAAATACATAAAACAGACTAATTGGAGATCTGGGTACTGGAGTTGTCAGACATGGGATCTAAAATAATTCTAATAAATATTCAAGAATTTATAATACAATAGAGAATTGTGGCAGAGAACTAAAGCCTATCTTTTAGAAATCATAGAAATGCTTTAACTCAAAATATAATAACTGAAGTTAACTCAATAAATAAGATTAACAGCAAATTAAATGAAGCTGAAGAAGAAATTAGTGAAATGGAATATAAATGAGAAGAAAATATTCAGATTGAATATGGAGAAAAAAGAAAGAATGAAAAAATGAATTTAAGAAATAAATAAGGCTCAGAGAAAGTTCTAATATTCTTCAAATTGTAGGCCTAACTGGAGAGGATTTAAAAGGAAAGAAGAAACAGAAACAACATTTGAAGCAAAAATGGTTGAAAAGCTTCCAAAATGTGAAACCCAACAAACATCAAGTGACAGATCCAAGAAATGTTGCACATCATTACCCAGATGAATACAAAAGAAATTATGCGTAGACATGCCATAGTCAAACTATTAGAAACCAAACACAAAGAGAAAAGAATGAAAGATAAATTATCATCAAGGACCAAAAATAAGACAAATAGCTGATTTTATTGTATCTGGCTTCCACTGTATCTGTTGAAAAATCTGCATTTTGCACTGCTATCATGTCTTTTAATTTTTTAGATAAAACTTACATTTATAGTAAATATTCATTTATACTTATAAACATTATGTATGTGTACATATATACATTAGTGTACATGTGTGTATGTAATTTCAAACAAAGAAAAACTGAAAAAAAATCAATATTAGTACTTTTTTTACTAAAGAAAATATTGAAACAAATACTTCTGGTTGAAGGAAAGTAATCTGAGGAAAAAATGGAGATGAAGAAAGGAGAAAAGAGAAAATATGTGCATAAATATAAATGGATATTGACTGTATACATATGTATTATAAATATAACATATAGATAATATATGAAAACAAAAACATAAAAGGCCTAAGACAGAAAATGAAGTTAAAGAGTCATATTTGTATTTTTAATAAGTTGTAGTAGTACTAACATATTATTTTAATAAGCCATGTTGTATGTTGATATATTATAGACAGCAATTAAGAGTATAGTAAAAAAAAAATGTATATCACTAACACATCAATTCAGGAGAAAAATGAGAAATTAAAATGCAACATGATTTCAAAGGAAGCTGGAAAAGAATAAAAAATGGTAAGGAGACAAAGAATACATGAGACAAATAGAAAACAGTATGATGGCAGTTTGGTCCCTGTCTGAAAATTCCTCCTCAATCATCCTAAGATATTTAGTAAATGTACTAACTACTACATAGTTGCAAGCTAAAAGTATAGAGTTACATTATCATCTGATTGCATTTAAGCAGAAATATAATATACATTTAAATTCCAGAGACCCTTTAAGCACCAAATAACTACATTGAATCATAATTTTTGCTGACAGCAAATGTAACATAAAGGATCAGAATCGAATGTAAAATAACTATAAATTTAATCTCACATAATCTACCATTTTATTTTAGAAATATAGTAGGTTTGAAACATTGTTTATATTAGAATTTAGGTCCTTGGAAATTTTACTTTTGCAAAAGGGCATTAATATGTGAAGAGATTTAGTTATTGCTTAAGGAACACTTGAAAATCAAAGGGGGATCGCTTCACTAGGAACCTTAAATTTAATCAAAACTTTAAAACATACCAATTAAGCCAGTTTCATTATACTCTTTTTAACAGAGACAACTACAGAAAATAAAACATGTCCTAAGAGATAGCTTGAATTATGGAATGAGCAATTTTAACCTCTTGGTCTATTAAGGGAATTTTCTGCAAAACCATTTTCATTAGCAAAAACAGAGACCCAAATAATTTAATTAGTGGACCTGTGATAGAATAAGCCTTTCATTCATATTTACTCTCTTTACATTTGATAGTATTGTTAAACTTCCAATGTGTATATGTTTATATATGCATACACATAATATTTAATTTAATTCTAATAATTCATCAGGTATATACTATCTCTAAAATGTAAGCTGAAAAATGAAGGTCTGGCCATGCTGTTGCACACAAAAAACCATGGAATAAGCTGGTAGCAGGAAAATATCAAGGTTTTCAATCTTCTATTGCATACACAGAATTATTTCAAAATACAGAATTTTCTGTCTGTTCTAACTGCAAATTATTTCGTATCACAGGAGTTAGGTTTATTCATGAGTCTCTCTGCCAGATTCAACAATAGAGAATTAGTTAAGCTCTCCGCTGTCTTGACAGCCTCCAGAAACCATTTTTACCTCATCTCTCCATTAAACTACTAACAAAAAGGTAAGAGAAAAACAGTAATAATATTCACCAATTGGTGCTAAGACCAAACTCTATTTATACCATGTCCTCATTCTCACTGATTTTCTACTCACTTAGCAAATATTTATCATGATGCTACAGTGTGCCAATCATTTTGATGGACCTTGAACAAATGCTAAGAAGAAGTTCATGGTCTTCATAGGTTGGTGATGCTTATGGCCTATAAGGGAAAACACGAATTCATTTGTTCATTCGACAAGTATCATTGGCCATCAAAAATTAGCCAGACATTCTGATAAGTGTTGAGAATCCTGTGGTGAATTGCTTCCTTACTTTTACTGTGCTTAATGTCTGCAAAGTAATTAAATATCAAGTAATCATGAAAATAAATATATAATGTATATTATCTATAATAAATAGGTTACTATGCAATAGAAGTCTAACAAAAGCTTCTGGCATTGAGAGTCTGGGAGAGATTTCACGAGAAGGTAACATGCAAGTTGAGGGCAGAAGATTAATTAGAAGTTAATTTGTTGAAAATAATCTTCCTAGCAGAGAGGAAAGTAAGCAAACACTGTGGTTCCAGAGAGAACACAATTTATTAGAGCACTCAAGGCCACGGTGGCTAAAGTGGCAAGAACAAAAAAGAATAACTTAAGATGATGTTACTGAGAGATGCAATGAAAAGATCACTTGAGGTTTAGAAAACCCATTAAAAGTTTTGGTGTCCATTCTTAAAAGCAATGGAAATTCATAGATGGTTTTCAAACATGGAAATAGTATTATTTTACTTGAAATAGGGAACATTTTCCAACTAGCTATATAGACAATGGATTGAAGAGGGATTCCTGGAAAGTAAGAAGACTACTGCAACCATTCAGTCATACCTATGAGAGATAATGCCATTTTAAAATTGATTGGTGCAGTGAAGTTAGAAAAATATATTTGAAAGAAATTCAGTAAGTAAAATTGCAGGACTCAGTGATAATTTGGGTGTGAGGGAAATGAAAGAAGATAGTTTCTGGTGTATGGCTCGTAGAACTGAATGAATTATAATGGCATTCCCTGCAATAGGAAATATTGGAGAAAGTCCAGTGTTGGAAGGAGAGGAACATTAATAAAATTTTGAAAATTTTGAGTTTGAGTTGCTTTTGAGATACTCAAGCGATGATGTCAAATGAGCAGCTGAACATCTGGACTGGAATTCAAGAGAAACACAGGAATGTAAGTCTAGAAAACAAATGGTACACAAACAGCAATCAAATCAGTGAGTGTAGATTGTCACTCACACTCACACTAGGAAGAGTGTAAATAGTGATGGGGCATCTGGATATTTACCCAGTGGATACAAGCCACCGAGCCTGCCAAGGAGACTGAGAATCCAGAGACATAGGGCTGAAAGCAGTGAAGGTTTATTAGAACAGAAATCTAGTAAGATAAATTTCAAAAAGTCAAGTGTCAGATGTCAATGCTGCTGTGAGTTCAAATAGGATGAGATACAAAAAATTACAATTAAACAGTATTGGAACTAAAACAGAATTATTTTAAAAAATTCCTGATAACACAAAAAGAAGCATAACTCTGGAGGGAGCAAATGGCTGAACCAAAAATATATATATTTTTAAATCTGTACTTGAGAGACAAATAAGAGTTTTCTAGGCAAAGCAGTTGGTGGCTAAAAAGGTAGTATCTAGAGAAGGCTAATATTTCTTCAGAAAGGGCCAAAAAAGTCATTAAGCTGATGAATGTTCCAAAATTTTATTTCTCGGGAATCCTAGTCATTTTCATTTAATCTGCTTCCATATCTTAATAGGGCAAAAAAGACATCCTTACCTGCAGCCAATCTTCTATCATTGTCCATAAAACCCACAAAACGTGTAAATCAGAAAATAAAGAGGGAGAGAAAAATAAAATATTCACTCAAAAAGAAAAGTCATATAAAGTCTCAGACTTAGGAAATATAAGTTAATGGTTCCTGATTAAATAACAGACTGAATTTAAAAAGTCAAGAACATGAAGATAAAATTACATCAGGAAGGTCAAAATAGAATGTAGGAAAATTAAATAGACATGTTAATATGGGGGAAGACAAAGGATAACTTTCACCTCTACCACTGTCATCAACAGGTTTTGAGTTAGATGACCATGGCCATCTTTTAAGTAACGAGAAATAAAATAGCTTCTAAAGACTGAATTCCAATTTGTAGAGATAAGATTGCAATTTCACATATGATACACCAAACTGAGAATACATAATAGAAAATGAATATCTTACATTAGAAGAGTTGGTTTAAATCCACATGGTACAATTATGCTTACTGACTAAAATATTACAATAACAGAAGTTATTTTGTTCACTACTCAAATCAGAAATAATCTTGCATCCAGCACCTGTAATTCAACAAGAAGTCCCCACACTGCCCCTCCTTTATTCCATGTTTCAACATTTTCATAACGATTATCAGTTATTTAATATTTTGTGGAACTTTAGATTTTCAGCTTTTTTAAGGAAAAAGTTAATTTCTTTATACACCTTTTCTTTATCTATCTGACACTGGTTGAGAGTGCATTAAATCATAAGTATATGAATAATATTAAGTTGCCTATTGTCTTAACATGGCCTTTCAGGAACAACGTGGGAATAAATTTTAGTCTGAAAGTGCTGTTATTTACACTTTCTTTCAAGTTTGTTGAAGCACAGATACATTCGGGATAATTAATGCTCTGATGGACTATTTCAACCTACTGTGTCTTCTTAACCTTCTACCGGTTTCATTCCTTTCCTGCCTCACCAAATTTGTCCTCTTTGTTACACAGTACAAGGAGTACTGAGAATAAGGGCAGTACCCTTGAAGGAATACCTGTGAATACAAATTCTATTACGTAATGCATCCCTCTCCAGGAAAAGACAGAGAAGGAATTCTTTCCTTTAGGCGACCAGCAAATGGTCACAGGCAGGGATTTTGCTGGGTCTGATCTGTAGAGGCGGGTCGATATATTCACCGAAGAGAGATAATGGGAAACCGTTTAAGGGGTGCGGCCTAACACGACAGAACTGCTGCGGGAAGGGTCCTGGGGTAAGGAGGTGACATAAAGGGAGGAGAGCACCAAGAGGATGCAGGGAGAGAGGCTGGCTGTCAGTGCGCAAGAGGGTAGGGACACCCTGGGCCGCGAGGTGGTACCTGCGCGGGGTCGAGCGCCCCTGCCACTGAATCCCCGATCCAGAGATGCTCCCGGAGAAGCTGTTGGTAGCTGAGGCAGTGCTTCACCGCGGATGGCACATTCCCCATGGCGGAGCCTGGGGCGGCAGTCGGGAGGGGAGGGAGACTGGAGGAGGATGAGGGGCTGGCACCGCGCTGGGAAACTACGCCAGCTCGGGAGCGCGCACCTCCTGTGCACGGGCTGTGAGGACCAGCGCTGTTCCGCGCACTGCGGCGACGCCAAGAGGGCGGGTAGCAGGGCGTGGCAGATGGCCGCGCCCGGGGCAGCGGGTGCGCGGGGCACCTGCGGGAATCGACAGAAATACCGGACTCCTGAACAGGAGAGAAAGGAGCTGAGCCAGAGGATGTTCATGGGTGGCTCATTTTCTGCACTACACTGAGCGCCCAGGGCTGACTGTATCTTCACATGCCCACCTACTTCTCACCTGTCTCAGATCAGAAAAGGGGTCTAAAATAAAAGGAAGGGGCATGAGTGTTTGTGTTGATGAGTTCGTTCATTCTCAGCTGCAGCCTTGGGTGCTCAAGTGTAGATTTGCCCACCGTTGAGCTCACGGAGTTTATGCTTTATAACAATAAGCTCCATTTAAAAATGTTTTTGAGGCAACAGGCAAGGTTAAAACATATCCAACAGTTTAATAAAAAGGAAAAGATAGTCTTAAATTAGGTTAGATGTCAGAGGTACTCTCAGAGGTACGTTCCTAAATGAGAGTAAGCTGTCAGTAAGTTGGTGCTGCAATTAAGCGCTGAAATGGAATTGCGTGTTTAAGTCTCATGGCACAAAAATTATTAAAGCTCTAAGGACTAGATTTATCCAAACGGAAAATTCTAAACAAGTTCTTAGGATATTAGAATTGGAGACATTTTTAGTGGAAGAGAGGGTTTGAAAAACAGCCTTCGAGCAGACCACCGGCCTACCTTCCCCACCCTACTTTCACGTGCACACTTATGTGTATTGTCACACCCTAATACTCTTCACAGTGGGTTCAGTGGTTTGCAGCTAAAATGACATAGTCATTAAGAATAGTCTCGTGTGGGGTACCTAGGGTCTTCCGGAGACCCAGCCAGGATGTCCATGGCCAGGAATACCCATCGGCCCTGCTGGCTGTTGGAGCAAATGTAAACCCGGAGCCAACTGATGCACACCTTAGGATAAACACACAGAAGAAATTTACCATTCAAAGTCAAACCATCCTTACCACTTGTGTGTTGCATGGGTGGGGGTTTGGGGGCGGGCAGTGAGACTTCCACAGGTAATAAAAATAAATGGGTTCAGGGAGGAAAAAGACAAAGAGTGGAAAGGAAATCATGTAGATCCTTCGGTAAAACTGCACTAGAAAGGGCAAAGAGGATGAGGAGGTCATAGTCTTCTCACAGTTAACCAAGGATGTTTAACCTGGAGAACATTCTCTGAACGGCTGAAGTGAAGTTATGCAATCCCTGGATGCGCTTAAAACTCTGTAAAGCACCAAAACTCCGGTTGTTGCTTACCTAAGCATGACTATCATATAGGTGTACATCCATAGAGCTAAATTTATTAGCTGTACTAGCAGAGCTCAGCTGTTAGTTATTTTTCCACTGCGAGTGAAATGGACCATACTGGTTACAGCTATGCTTCCTATCATTTTTCTCTATGTATTGAAATTCTGCAACAGGGAACATGATATTTAAAATAATTTTAAAAGATCCAACTTGAACAACAATAATTTAGCAAGGCAACCTTCATAATGGAGTCAACAATCATTCCAAATCTCAAAAAGGATTGGCAATTAAAATTAAAATGAAGTCTAACCTTTTGGAGAATAAGACCTCTAAGATAGGTCAGATATGATATGATCTTCTGCTACTAAGAACATTTAGGAAAAAAAAAAACTTTACTGCTTAATCATTTTCTAAATTAAAAAGGTCTGAAGAAAATTTCATATACCAATTAGTTGACCATAGTAATATGTGTTTTTTAGGGGAAAAAATCTTATAAATATGAAAGTTTTTTAAAATTTTAATTCATATCATATGGAAAATGTTATGACCTCAAATTTTTAAACAAAATTTGTACAAATGCCAAAATCACAAAGACCAAATATCTTAAGAATGTTGAATCTAATGAATAAACAGGAGTTAAAATAGATGTGCTTTTAGTGGTAAGTAAAGTTTGATGTTAATTTATGAATACTTAAAATTTATAAATTTGAAAAGCATATGTTCTTGTATTAATCTACATCTTTCTGTTTTGATTACTCAAATAAACATTTTCAATATGTACCCCTGTTACTTGCAAGTCTACAAAGCTCTAGATAAAATGAGAATAAAAAGAAGTTTGTGGAAGGTTCTATAGTTCTCTCTCGCCACATAACAGGTTAAGAAGCTTGGGCTCCATTAGAAAAATTAAAAAAAAAAAAAAAAACACTTGTTAAAAACTATGAAGTGAGTAAGTGCCATATCCTGAACCTGCACTCTATACTATGCTTGCTGCATCATATGACTAAGCCATTTTTACTTCATTGCATTTTACTCATTCAAACAGAAGAAGATACGAACATTCACCACAAATTAAATTAAATTTTCTATTTTCTCTAGTGACTTTATTGATGATTTTGCTATGTGCAAAAACATTCAAGTCAACCTGTCTCTCCTGAATTATTCTCGACTTCCTTCTCTCCTTAATCCTAGCAATCTATCAACAAGTGATTTGAGTTAAACATCTTGGACCCATCCCTTGCTCTTTTTCTTTTGCTAAGAACTTCTCTCTGCTCCACTTCCTATCTGTTTGACAAGCAACACCATAATGCAGTGGGGAAGGGCCTAAGAGCTGATTCTAGATTATCTATGACACAAGCCGGTTCCAATAGGGACTGAGTGACCCTGGACAACTTCATTAGCATCTGTATCCGTATGTGTAAGAGGGTGACAATAACAGTTCTTAATTGTTGCCAAAATTAAATGACAGAATATATAAAATGTTCAACATGTGATCTCTGGCACATAGTAGGCAGCCAACAAATGTTAGCTATTATTAATACAGTAGTCTGGTTTCCTGGGTTATTTTCCACTCAACAATTCATACTGTATAGCCTGAGAGATTTTGAAAATATGTATCTGATAAACATTCTGAAGTTAAAATTCTTAGAGGTGTCCCATAACCTCTGGGGGTGGGGAGAAGTCATGTTTCTTAAAAATGGTTCAATTAATATTTTATGATGAGACTTTTAGCAGTCTTTGCAGTCTCAACTCCTACCCATTTTCTAAACTTATCCATAACTTCAGCAATATCAAATTATGTACATTTCCCCAAGTTGTAGGATTATTTCATGTCCTATCACTCTAATTATGTTTATTATAGCAATTTTGCGAAATTCAGAAGATGCGTAAAGATATCAGTGAAGACACCTAGTGTTTTAATTCTAGAAATATTTTAATACGTTTTATTTCAGAGAGAAAAGAATTATTATTTCTTGTATATACTTTTTTGGTTGTCCCATTTTATTTTATTTAAATTATTTGAAACCATGATGCCATTGGCTGTACAATATCTGTATATATGTATACATAATATATATACACACACACATACACATAATCAAAAGCATTTCTTATAATAACTTTGTAAAGTATAGCATGTTATTTATTTTTTGAGAGGGAAGTAGGTAGCTAGAAAATGATCATACAGATGTTCACATTTATAATTAATTAATTTGCCAAAACAGCATGACAGTGGAAATCCTGCACTGTAGTTCTGTTTCTGTCAATTTCTCTTTGTATTTTTAAAGTTTTGCTTTGTATGTGCAAAGCAAATACATATACAAAGCAAAATTTGCATGGTTGGTAATTTGCTTGTGTAAACTTATCTTTGATGAAGCCATTTATTTTTCCATAGGAATTTTTCATGGGTTATTGAAATATTCCTAAAGGATGATTTTACTTTTGCTTGACTGGGATATCTAATGGATTTAATTTGGTGGTGCTAAGATTTGTTTTTTGTTAACATCTTAGCTTGGAGTCTCATAACGATATAATAAATACAGAACTTAAAATCATGCATGATAGCACTTGCTTTCAGTCTTCTTACAGAGATTTACTTTCTCACCCACAGAACCAGGTGACCTTTTTTTCATCTCCCATATATGGAATGGCCTTTTGAGGCCAATGGTTCATGTTCATGGCCCAGTTAGCTACCATACTTACATGGCCATTCGCTTAAATGTACGTTTGCATGTGGTGCTTAAAACCTTAGATCCTGACTATCAAGGCCTGTGCCTTCTTGTGAGCCTCTTGGCAATATTTAGCTTCTGAGAATGTTCTTGATATCAGTGTTTGAGGGGAGGGGAAAGAATCTCCCTGATAAGCTCCATATTTAACAGAATTCTTACTTGAAATTTTCTCTGAGTATTATATTTGCTCCATAATTTTCAATGTATTCTGAAGTTCCTATCACTTCTACAAATAAAGATAGGGAATAGGAGATGCTGAACAGAATGAAGAACACTGGATTTAACTCAGAGTCTGAGGATCTCATGATATGGTTCTGATGTCTTAACTAATCCACAAGAAAGAAAACTAAGCAGAAGCCACATGCTCTACACTTACTCCCATTCTTCTCCCTATCTCTTCTCTGTATCAAATGACCGCAATAAATTACTACCATGTAATAAATTACAAGGCTGTTCATTCTCTATATTCTAGACAAAAGATCTCAAAAACAGAGTGAAGAGGGATTTTTGTTTCAGAGATCAGTCAACGCCAAACTAGGCAGACTGACTAAGACTGACTATATCAATTGTCTCGAGTAGGAAGTACTTGGGTGAGAAGGATCTAGTTAAAACAGGTTGCTATCTTGTGAGTTTCTCTGGTCCCAGAGATGGCTATTTGAAAGTCTCTATGCTGACAGTGTGGATAGAATCAGAAGCAAGTGAACCAGTCAAAGTTCTTATAATAACAAATGCCAAACTGACATGTAGCCAAGATACCTACTGGGCAGGGATAAAAGATACATATGGTGAATCTCAAACAATGATTCCATAGAACTTTGGCAAGCATTACAAAAGTGATGTGCTACAGCCTTAAACAATAAAAAAGAAACAATGAGAACAACCTGGTTACCAATACTAGATGATACCTAAGGGGAAAAAAGCTTTCATCATATCAGTTTTATTGCTGAAAATGTTAGATAACTTCTCACATATGTTATGTCTGGCTGATCTAAATTGATGAGAAGGATAACAGAGTG